AGAGGAGGAGGTTGTCTTAGCCAATCAGAACACAAGGACAGATTGAGAGCGGTAGGATTATCACACACATCATCTGGAACGGTCTGAAAGCGTTCTTGCTGGCTGAGGACACATTTTAACAGTTCTCCTCCTGGAACAGGCTAGGAACTGTTAGAGCACAGAATGGGAACTCGATGAGGATCATACTGTGCAATAAAATACATTCCATTCCATTCTCATCATGTTCTCATAACGTTCCAAGAACACAATGCGATAAGCTTATGAGAGTTTGTCTGTAGGCAAGTAAGGCTGGCCACCAAGTGCCCTTGAGAAGGCAGCATTATTTTCCAGAATAGGTTGTAGTTCATTATGATATATCTGAATGGTCTCAGTTAGAGCTGTATGTGACAACTACTGGAGTTCTGCCATTTTCTGTCTTTAGTTTGTTCTGTAATAGATTAGTCCTGGATACAAGTCTATCATTGATGATGTTTTTAAAAACTTCATATGGTAGGTATTGTAGTTTGAGGAATGCTTGTTGTAATTTCATGTATTTGGCATCCCTGTCTTGTGGGTCTGAGCAGATGTCATTGTATTGGAGGACTTGACTTACGCTACCAACTTCTTAAGTTAGTTTCAAAGGTGCTACAAGATCCATCTGCATAGAGTTCCATTCCAAAGAATGGAAGAGATGGTACCTCAAGCCAGGACAGGACACACATCCCCTTCTAGAAGTTGTAGAAATGCAACTCCCAGACTTCCTCATTGTTGACTATAGAGTTTATCACATGGGGAAAATTGGAAGTTTAAATGGGTCAGAACCCATAGTTATCCAGTGTATCAGGCACAATTGCGCAAATGGTTTTCACACAATGCTGCACGCAAACTGCTTAGAATCTGAACAGAAAATGACATGAATCAGGGAATACAGTTGTCCCTCCCTTTTCACGACTTGGAATCTGCATTCTTGCTCTTCATGAGAGGGACAAATGGCCATTAACAGAATGGCTGCGTGTGATCCTGTGCCACTGTGTGCGCGTGCCTTAGGCACACACACCATTATTTTCTATGGGACTTGAATATGTGTGAGCTGCCATTTTTGTGATGGGGTACGGAATAGATCCCCTGCAAATTGGGAGGGCAACTGTAGTCATTTTCAGGAAAATACCAAGTTTTCATTTCCACTTCATTCACAAATATGCTTTCTTTGTGCAATTGCTGTAGTGTGAAAGCCATTTGTGGGATTCTTCCTGCAAAAACCATTTGTGCAATTGTGAATTAATAATGGGTTCTTACCATTTTAACCTTCCAATTTTCCCCCGTGTGATAAACTCCTATGATGGTTAGCACTGCAGAGAGTTATAGTCCGTCTGGAGTGCTACATAATTCCCACTCCTGGAATAAAGGCCTTGCATAAAAAAAAATCCTGGGAAAAAATAATTTGCAGTTTATGACAGGAGCCTTTCTGGGAAATGCACAACAGGATATTTCCAGTAAAATTTTGGCTTGGGCTTCTTTCATACTACACAAATATAGCACTAGGATTCTGCTTTAACTGCTATAGCAACATCCTGAGGAATCCTGGGGTTTGTAGTTTGGTGAGGCTCTTTGACTGAGAATTCTAAATACCACTCCCTAAACTGCAAATTAAAGCAGTTTAACACTATAATTGTGTAGTCTGTAAGGGCCCCATACCAAGCTTAATGATATACTGGATATATCTTTTATGGGACCCAAAATGGAATCATCTAGTTTTCCCTCTGACGCTTGCTCAGTGTGGCTTTTTGTGTATAAGTAGGAGTCTGTGGAAATTTGCAACAACTGCTTTGCAAAATAAAAGTAACATTTCCATGCACACCCTCCAACTATCCTGATTAGGTAGGGAAATTCCTCTGTCATCCCACTTTTTCAGTGTCTTTTTAAAAACATGTCTTGGTTTTCTCTGGTCAAACTGAGTTCAAAGTACAAAAGAAATCTGCACTCAACTCAAGGCCTTGGCAGACGGCTAATAGAGCCGTCTTCCGGGCCCAGAAGAGGAGGGGCAGCCGCACGAGCGGCGCCCCTTCCTCTTCCTGAGGTCGCCCTCAGAGTCGCCGGCCCTCCGCACGGCCGGGGCTCCGGGGATGACCTCACGCCGTGGTGACCGCACGCGCCACGGCGTTTGAGTCAGGGAAAGTGCGCCCGCCGCTTTTAGG